TCATTATTATATTATTATAGTATGTCATATAGCTCCATATTATATTATTATAGCATGTCATATAGCTCCATATTATATTATTTTATTATTATAGCATGTCATATAGCTCCATATTATATTATTATAGTATGTCATATAGCTCATTATTATATTATTATAGCATGTCATATAGCTCCATATTATATTATTATAGTATGTCATATAGCTCCATATTATATTATTATAGCATGTCATATAGCTCCATATTATATTATTATATTATTATAGTATGTCATATAGCTATATATAATATTATTATAGTATGTCATATAGCTCCATATTATATTTTTATAGTATGTCATATAGCTCCATATTATATTATTACAATATGTTATACAGCTGTATATTATATTATAGTATGTCATATAGCTCTATATGATATTATAATATTATTATAGCATGCCATATAGCTCCAGTTTATATTATTATAGTATGTCATATAGCTCTTTATTATATTATTATAGTATGTCATATAGCTCCATATTATATTATTATATTATTATAGCATGTCATATAGCTCTATATTATATTATTATATTATTATAGTATGTCATATAGCTATATATAATATTATTATAGTATGTCATATAGCTCCATATTATATTATTATAGCATGTCATATAGCTCCATATTATATTATAGCATGTCATATAGCTCCATATTATATTATTATAGCATGTCATATAGCTCCATATTATATTATTATAGTATGTCATATAGCTCCATATTATATTATTATAGTATGTCATATAGCTCCATATTATATTATTATAGTATGTCATATAGCTCCATATTATATTATTATAGTATGTCATATAGCTCTATATTATAATATTATAGCATGTCATATAGCTCCATATTATATTATTATAGCATGTCATATAGCTCTATATTATATTATTATATTATTATAGTATGTCAAATAGCTCCATATTATATTATATTATTATAGTATGTCATATAGCTCCATATTATTATTATAGCATGTCTTATAGCTCCATATTATATTATTATATTATTATAGTATAAATCAATTATATATTAGTAGGTATCATATAATCCATATTATATTATTATAGCATGTCATATATCCATATTATATTATTATGGCATGTCATATAATCCATATTATATTATTATATGTATGTCATATGGCTCATATTATATTATTATATTATTATAGCATGCCATATAGCTCCATATTATATTATTATAGCATGCCATATAGCTCTATATTATATTATTATATTATTATAGCATGTCATATAGCTCCATATTATATTATTATATTATTATAGCATGTCATATAGCTCCATATTATATTATTATAGCATGTCATATAGCTCCATATTATATTATTATAGCATGTCATATAGCTCTATATTATATTATTATATTATAGTATGTCAAATAGCTCTATATTATTATATTATTATAGTAAGTCATATATCTCCATATTATATTATTATAGTATGTCATATAGCTCCATATTATATTATAGTATGTCATATAGCTCTATATTATATTATTATACTATTATAGTATGTCATATAGCTCTATATTATATTATTATATTATTATAGTATGTCATATAGCTCCATATTATATTATTATATTATTATAGCATGTCATATAGCTCCATATTATATTATTATAGCATGTCATATAAGCTCCATATTATATTATTATAGCATGTCATATAGCTCCATATTATATTATTATAGCATGCCATATGAAATCCATATTATATGTATTATATTATTATAGCATGTCATATGGCTCAATATTATATTATTATAGCATGTCATATGGCTCCTTATTATTATATTATTATGGCATGTCATATAGCTCCATATTATATTATATTATTATAGCATGTCATATAGCTCCATATTATATTATTATATGTCATATGGCTCCATATTATTATATTATTTATAGCATGCCATATAGCTTCCATATTACACTAGTGTGCAGCAGCCATTACATATAAGCTCCATTTTATATTATTATAGCATGTCATATAGCTCCATATTATATTATTATATTATTATAGCATGTCATATAGCTCCATATTATATTATTATATTATTATAGCATGTCATATAGCTCCATATTATATTATTATATTATTATAGCATGTCATATAGCTCCATATTATATTATTATAGCATGTCATATAGCTCCATATTATATTATTATAGCATGTCATATAGCTCCATATTATATTATTATAGCATGTCATATAGCTCCATATTATATTATTATAGCATGTCATATAGCCCCATATTATATTATTATAGCATGTCATATAGCTCCATATTATATTATTATAGCATGTCATATAGCTCCATATTATATTATTATAGCATGCCATATAGCTCATTATTATATTATTATAGCATGCCATATAGCTCATTATTATATTATTATAGCATGCCATATAGCTCATTATTATATTATTATAGCATGTCATATAGCTCCATATTATATTATTATATTATTATAGCATGTCATATAGCTCCATATTATATTATTATAGCATGTCATATAGCTCCATATTATATTATTATATTATTATAGCATGTCATATAGCACCATATTATATTATTATATTATTATAGCATGTCATATAGCTCCATATTATATTATTATATTATTATAGCATGTCATATAGCTCCATATTATATTATTATATTATTATAGCATGTCATATAGCTCCATATTATATTATTATATTATTATAGCATGTCATATAGCTCCATATTATAGCATGTCATATAGCTCCATATTATAGCATGTCATATAGCTCCATATTATATTATTATATTATTATAGCATGTCATATAGCTCCATATTATATTATTATATTATTATAGCATGTCATATAGCTCCATATTATATTATTATAGCATGTCATATAGCTCCATATTATATTATAGCATGTCATATAGCTCCATATTATATTATTATATTATCATAGCATGTCATATAGCTCCATATTCTATTATTATATTATTATAGCATGTCATATAGCTCCATATTCTATTATTATAGTATGTCATATAGCTCTATATTATATTATTAAATTATTATAGTATGTCATATATCTCTATATTATATTATTATAGCATGTCATATAGCTCCATATTATATTATTATATTATTATAGCATGTCATATAGCTCCATATTATATTATTATATTATCATATCATGTTATATAGCTGTATATTATATTATTATATTATTATAGTATGTCATATAGCTCCATATTATATTATTATAGCATGTCATATAGCTCTATTATTATTATTATTATTATGATATTTATAGAGCGCCATCAGATTCCGCAGCGCTTTACAATGGGTGGACGAACAGACATGTAGTTGTAACCAGACAACTCTCTATATTATATTATAATATAGCTCTATATTATATTATTATAGCATATCATATAGCTCTATATTATATTATATTATTATAGTATGTCTTATAGCTCTATATTATATTATTATAGTATGTCATATAGCTTTATATTATAGTATGTCATATAGCTCCATATTATATTATTATAGCATGTCATATAGCTCCATATTATATTATTATAGTATGTCATATAGCTACATATTATATTATTATAGTATGTCATATAGCTCCATATTATATTATTATAGAACAGAAGAAAGTGATCAGCACTCTCTATCTATACAAAATACAAAAGGAACAATAATAAATAAGTAAAAAGTGGCAGCACCCCTAAAAAGTATGGCTCCCTCACAGGCCTTACAACAGAAATGGTACAGAAAAAAGAAAGGAAGGCAGCGCCACTACAATCCACATAAATTAAAAGAGCACAGAATAGGCAGACTAGAATGCAATATATATAATAGATAATAAGCAAATAGAAGTCCAGAATAAATAGTCTGACTGGTAGATGAATCAAACAACGAGGTATATCTTTGTAGAGGTGAATACAGTCTTTTGTAGTGGGGGATTCTTCAGAGTGGTGTAGATGCGTCTTTGTACATCATATGAAATGAGAAAATAACAACTGATGGTATAGTATGTCCCGAAAAGGGTAGAAGCAATAAAAGAGTATATGGTCCTACTCACGTTTTCAAGAGCTATGGACTTAGCTCTAGTGTTGATAACGTACAGTGGTATAATCCCCACTTATGGGATACGTGAGGTCTTAGTATTCTTTCTTGATTAGGGAACCATATGTGGAAATAAAAGCCGGAACAACAATGGTGCTCAAAGTATAAAATGCCAGAGGTGAGAAGATAAAAAAACAAGTGGTTACTCACATTTAGTTGAACAGACTAACTGTTCAATGAATACAGCTTGAGTGGTATAATCCCCACCTAGGATTCTTGAGAGTAATATCCTCACTGGAAAGTAAAAACACTTCTGGTGCCGGATAAAAGGATGGTAGTAGTAAAAAAGTAAAATGATAATAGTAATAAAAAGTAACATGGCTAACTCACAGTAAGAAAGTGGCAAAAATACCTTTATTTAAAACAACATAGTTTAAAAATCCACAACGCGCTTAGGCTTTATCAAGTGGAGATCAGATTATTATATTATGATAGTATGTCATATAGCTCTATATTATATTATTATAGCATGTCATACAGCTCCATATTATATCATTGTATTATTATAGTATGTCATATAGCTCTATTATATTATTATAGTATGTCATATAGCTCCATATTATATTATTATAGTATGTCATATAGCTCCATATTATATTATTATAGTATGTCATATAGCTCTATACTATATTATTATAGCATGTCATATAGCTCTATATTTTATTATATTATTATAGGATGACATATATCTCTATATTATAGCATGTCATAGTTCTATATTATATTATTATATTATAGTATGTCATATAGATATATATTATATTATCGTATGGCATTGTAACGGCACCCCCAGGCATAAAAGGGTTAAACCGCCGTTTAGTAGATCTTCCCCTTCCAGAGACACAGGCACAGCTACTGCAGAACCACAAACTCCCGAACAGGATACCAAGTAGCACTCCAAACTCCCGAACTGGAACCTCACGAATAGCTGCTAGCAGCTGAACAGGAAAAGCACCCAAGCAGTTTACACTCCTTGCTATCAGTCTCTAACAGCATACAGTAAATCCCCCCAAGAACGAGACAAAGCTCCGTGTTGAGGGTCAAGCAGTGAACAGTCAGAGCTGTGGGTTTATTGTTCTTATATACACATTAGTACCACCCACAGGGTTTTGGAAAACAACCAATAAACACATACAATACACTCAGACACTCCCACACAAAATACTCCCCTCTGCCTGTGATACAATTACCTTACACAATGGGTAATGTAATTATCATCGGCAGAGAAATACAGTTTTTCCACATTATTCATCACTTGAAAAGTATGCATCACATTCACAGAATCAGCATACTCCAAATACAAACATATGTCAAAATCATCCAAATTGGTCCATTGGTTCAAAAGATAGATCGATGTCCTTTGTGACCAAATGAAGCATGGCTTTTCTGTCCAAAACCAGTTCCACAGAGTCTTCTATCCTGGAGATAATTGGGAAGTAGAAATACAAGTGATATACTGGCGCTATAACTGAATATAACACTCTTTAGTCCAAAAAATTCTAAACAAGCTGCTGTGACACCTAGATGTAATCTTTCTTACTTACATCAATTTGAAAGGAAATACAAAAAAGGAAATAGGTGTAGCGCTGTATACATACATATAATAAGGTTGAACCTAATGGGCTGATTAGGTGTCCAGATGAGAGTAATTCCAATACTTAATACAATCAACCTAAAACAAGCAAAAAAGAACTCCAATAGTGTAACACCGTAAATATAGATATAATAAGAGTCAAATATAGCAATACAGGCTTGAGAAAGAAATCGAGTTTTTTTCCTGGTTTGTATCATGGGAATTAGATCACCTGAATGAATCATGGGAATTATGGTTCATTCAGGTGATCTAATTCCCATGATACAAACCAGGAAAAAAACTCGATTTCTTTCTCAAGCCTGTATGTTTAAATCCGTTTGGAAAGTTCTACTGTTTATTCAACGTGCAGAGACAGAGCCGATATAGAGGCTCCACTCTTAGGCGATTTGAGAAGATCACCTGGTTAGAAGAAGGGGAAGGTCGCCTGTACGGACCTACACGCGTTTATTCCTGAGCTTGGCATTAAGCTCAGGAAAATGTGAGTGTATTGCTATATTTGACTCTTATTATATCTATATTTACGATGTTACACTATTGGAGTTCTTTTTTGCTTGTTTTAGGTTGATTGTATTAAGTATTGGAATTACTCTCATCTGGACGCCTAATCAGCCTATTAGGTTCAACCTTATTATATGTATGTATACAGCGCTACACCAATTTCCTTTTTTGTATAATCGGGAAGTAATCCAATTATCTCCAAAGACAGAGGCAAAACTCCATTGAACACATGGCAGCAAAAGACAATAAAATACATAACAATATATAACTGTGCAGCCATTGCACAAAACAGGTACTTTCAACATATCCCCAGATAGCTCAGATCTGAGCACACATTATTACTGAATGGCGCTCAGAGCACACACATACAGTTCAATTGCCATGGAGCCAAAGTCTTTCCCATAGTCTTTCATTATACGAATGGGCTCCATGGCATAGCTATCTGGGGTATCCCCGCTCAAACAGGGCCAGTACCGACATGGGCCATAGTCTAAAGGCAGCAGGCGGGCAACCAGGCTCCTCCAATGCACAGTGGCAAGATTGGTCTCGTCACAAGGGGATTGTATGTTTGTACTGGGAGTGTCACCGTTTTCCCCTGTATTACTATTGGTTGCATGATTTATGTTCCTGTGCCCCACAAGGTTGATGTGGGAGGTTCCTTTGCATGGGTACTTGCATAAAAGCCAGTGTGGCACCATTAAAATTTAGTTCTGTTACATCCTTCATCTAGACTTCGGCTGATGTTTGGGTACCTGTCTGCTTTACTGGGAGAATCTACTTGGGAAGCTGTTATTTTGTATGGAGAATCAATTACTTTATTTTTCCGAACGGCGCGTTATAATCACTCATGTTCTTGCTGTTCGGGAGGATACTGACGAACGGGTATAGGCGATACCAGCGTTCGTTACAGGTATTATAGGAGATATTGTCCACAACATCTGGCCGGCCTGGATTGGTGTAGCACAGAATATAATTTGTGGTTACATGTCAGAAAAATATGTGGTCAGAATGGAGACATTCCCTTCTGTGTGTTTGTACTTTCGGTCTCCTGCAAACTGCCTGCTCAGTATTTATCTGCAACTTTTACTATATATTGTAACAATTTCCTTCTTACCTGAATGGAGAGGGATGACAGATGTCTACAAAATGATGTCTCTGTACAATTGCAAAGCTAATCTCATCACTGGGATTGCCACAGTTATGTAAATGCATATTACATTACTCCGTTCTATTAACCATGCATTTTGTAACTGTTATATCTCATGTAACTGTAGTGTTAAAATGATTTAGAACCACTGTTTTCGATTACAGTACTACTGCGGTTGCTTTAATTCCAAGAGTGCCAGAGTCCGTTCTTAGAGCATTTCAGTAAATCATGAACAACGACAGGAATCGGGTGGCTGAGCAGATCTTGGATCTAACCATGGAGATCATCCTCCTACTCACTGGAGAGGTGAGGGATTCTGGGTAATACTAGATTATCTGTCTGCTGTCTGGAGAGTTGGAGGTTTCTGGGTAAACAGACCAAAACAGAACGCAAGCGAATGTCGAGAACACAGAACAACTCAAATAGCTTGTTCTTTGGTTGACCTTACTCCGTTCTGAAGCCGATTTTAGTTATTCTTGTGCCATTTTAGAGAGAACCTAAACCATTTTCATATCAGACTAATCCCACCCAAAAAAAGCATTCCAGATTGAAAATGCAGGGATTCCGTGTAATTTTGGGCAGGAGATCATCATCATGCTAGCTCAATAAGTGAGGGATTCTGGATTAATGTAATTGTCACCTAAATTAAAATAATCTTGCTTCACTCTTTCAGCAAATTGTGGAAATAAAATAGTTTTCATGCCAGGAGTACCCTTGCCCTGTTTCCCATTAATAGGACAAACCGTTTTGCAATGGGGCACCTACTGTGCAAAACTGCAGAAGCCGGAAACCCATTCTGACGTCAAATCATTGATTGACTTGGATTAGCTGACTGCTCTTAGCCGAATCTTATTAGGCATCAGGTGATTCACAAATGAGTAAAAAACAATTATATGCATTGAATGTGGAAAATGCTAATGGATTTTAGCTAATGAATCCAATTTTGTAGATACCAAAAATAAAACGTACATTGAGGCACTTTTATTCTTTCTTAAAAACGTGTATAGATGATTAACTTCAACAAGCCACTTTTTCACTCCTTAAGTGCTTCTTAAAGGACCACTCTAGGCACCCAGACCACAGCTTAATGAAGTGGTCTGGGTGCCAGGTCCAGCTAGGATTAACCCATTTTTTTTTTAAACATAGCAGTTTATGTTAGGGTTAATCCATCCTCCAAATCCTCTAGTGGCTGTCTCATTGACAGCCGCTAGAGGCGCTTGCGTGATTCTCACTGTAAAAATCACAGTGAGAACACGTAAGCGTCCATAGGAAAGCATTATGAATGCTTTCTATGAGACTGGCTGAATGCACACGCAGCTCTTGCCGCGCGTGCGCATTCAGCCGAAAGGGAGGATTGGAGGCGGAGAGGAGGAGGAGAGCTCCCCGCCCTGCGCTGGAAAAAAGGTAAGTTTAACCCCTTTCCTCTCCCCAGAGCTGGGCGGGAGGCGGACCCTGAGGGTGGGGGCACCCTCAGGGCACTATAGTGCCTGGAAAAAGAGTATGTTTTCCTGGCACTATGGTGGTCCTTTTACACCAATTACAAAATGAAAATATACTTATAATGTAGTGCTTTAGTGTAATAGATTTCTTAAAGGATTTCACCTTGAATAATCTTCATATTAATGTGCTTGTACCCAATTAAATTATATTGTTTTATGCAAAGTGTGTGTGTGTGTGTATATATATATATATATATATATATATATATATGTGTTTTTTGTATTTGCACTTTAGCTACACGTTTTTTTAATATATACTGGCACTTTGCAAAACACAATATACTTTATATACAGCATATTAATAATAATATAGCACATTGGATGCAATTTTGTGCATATGAAAATGCACAGAATTGACATTAGCCAGTCTGGAACACTAGTTCGCAAGGGTTCAAAGTGAAGCATGGCACACACAGACCCCGTTCATTAAAATCATTTAAGTGGTGGTGGAGCTTGGAGAATACTTTTTAAAGAGGCATTGGGCCATTTATCCACCTCTAAGAAAAGTGGCAAAAGTTTTATAAAATTACACCTCGATTCCAATGTGCTAAGAATAGAAAAATATAGGGTCAAGGACATACTACGTTGAAAGAAAAGATCATACATGATTGGATGATCAGATCTACTCAGAGAATTAGTGCAGAAACCCCTATTTGTAGAAAGCCAGGAATGAACTGGGGATTCTAGTAGATGGGAGAGTAGGAGTGAGGAAGAAAA